AACGCGTGGCCAGTGTTTCGCCTCCCGGTGTGGAAGATGTATGCCCTGCAAGTGCTGCCGACGTCACTGTTGCACAAATTTAATATCAACTCGTTTTTTAACGAGACGTGTATCGAGAATATCGACCGAACTATACGTCAGATTATACGCGCGAAAGTGAGTGCCGGCGATAATGGCGACGATTTTATTAGCGATGTTGTGCACTCAAAGCCCGATGTTTATGATGACCAAGGTATATTCGTATGCGTGTTCATTTAATTATCAACATTATTTAGTATTGACAATTATTAATTATCTGAATTAAAATTTGTACAATTAACTAATGTTTATATTTAATCTAAATTTAACTATTTAATTACATTTAATGTAAATTATTTTCTACAGATGTGGACAGTCTAGTGATGGCGACCAAGACTGACGATATAAACGGGGTGAAAGAGCCGCTGACAGAGGACGAGGTGGTCGCCCAAGGGTTCAATATGTATACGGCTGGGTTCGACCAAATGGCAAATCTATTAGCGTTTGTGTCGTACGAGTTAGCGCTCAAACCGGAAGCTCAGGACCGGCTGTACGCGGAGATCGTGGCCGCCGGCGTCCAATCGGACGGTGAGATTGGTTACGACGAGTTGCGCCGATTGCCATACATGGATGCCGTGGTGAACGAGACGCTCCGACTGCACGCCACGCCCGTCAAACTGCGGCGCACACCGGGTGTGGATTTCCCGTTGACCGGCACCGGGATTGTGATCCGTAAAGGTCAGCCCCTGGAGATTCCGATCTACGCGAACCATCACTCGGATGAGTACTTTCCCGACGCCGAGAGTTTCATTCCCGATAGGTTTTTGCCCGAAAATCGTCAGAATATAAAGCCGTATACTTTCCTGCCGTTCAGCGCCGGACCCCGTGTTTGTGTGGGAATGCCGTTCGTGTTGTTGGAGACTAAGCTGGCGTTGTTTCATGTGTTGCGTCGCTTCCGGTTCGCCGTCCATAAGGACACAAAAGTGCCGCCAATTGTCAAAACGCATCCAATGATCAAAGGACTCGTATCGCTGTATCTCTCGGTTGTGCCCCGAGATTAATATACATGACATTTAACGAATTTGGGTTTTAGCTATATAAAACACTAAAACTATTATCAAGTATTATTATTATTCTGAATAATTTATAGTATTATATCTAACCTATTTTATTTTGAGTAGTGATTTTAGTTTAAATTATTGTTATAACCAAAAATTAATTTTGGTTTATTTTTAAACAAGAATTATCAATGATTTACAAATTATTATTATTACAATATTATAAATATTTAATCTTGTTATTTTTAATTTTATAGCTATTTTATAAAGCACTAGTTTAGTTTAATTTTGGATAACTAATAATATTTATTCTATTTCAGTTTAAATAAATTTAGTAATTTTAGGTTGAATTATCATTATAGCCAAGTATTAATTTTCAAAAAAAAAATCATCAAGGATTTATGAATTGTTATAATTACAATTAACTATATTATAAATAAAGATTTGTTGTCGGTTTGGATTTCTACCGGTTATCTGCATTTTCCCGATCGACACAAAAAATTATAAATTTGTATTAAAATTTTTAATAATTGCATATAGAATAAATGTTTGTTTTAATTTATTTTTAATAAAACTTAAAAATTATATAAATGTTACTTATTACTAATAAGTTATTAGTAATAACATAAATAGTAATTTGTTTATACAGTGCAATCTGTCTTGAGAAAACACCTCTTAAAAAAGGGTTTGAAATATTTGTTGAATTTTTTCTACCTATAATAATAATAAAACTTCCCTTTAGGAAACTTCTACATAATAAATACTTCCTCATTGGAAACGAATTTAAGAAAATTTTGGCAAAATTAACATTTTTATAATACAAATAGTAGATTTCCAAGAAATTGTTTATTAGAAACTGGAATTTTACAATACACCTTAATTAACGAGAGTTACTTAACATTAATGTATTAATGCTAATCAACATATTTGCTGCGATTTTGAACAAAATCCTCAATAAGTTGTGAAACTTTTGCCAAACTATTATTGGTTTGTATTCTTTGAGAGACAGGGATTTACGTGACCCTCGGCTAAGGTCGGCACAAATAACACGTTAAGCGGCGTTTTATATGGAGTCTCCAATATCTCCCATAGACCTAACACTAAATATTGTAAAAATGATTTTAATAATCGGTCTAAAATACATTAAAACTTGATAACAAAATAATTTTAATTAATCACTCCAATCATTTACTTGCATATACTAAAGAATCTGCCCTTAATTTTGTTAATTTGATATGAATTTAACTTTTAAGTAAATACTTTTAATTCACCTTCCATTGAATTTACTGGTTACATTCCTTTGGAACATACTGTATGTTGCTTATTTTTTATAAGAAATAATTTTAAAATAATATGTTTATTGTTTTCCTTGAATTGCATACTCATATATTAATTGTTTATACATGTATTAATTTGTGATTATAACAACTATTTATACTTAAATTTTGAGGTTTACTTAATTTTGTATTTTTAATATTGTGGTTTAAATTAAAAATTAATTTTAATAAATATAAACACTTATAATTTTTATGTTTACATTTACATGTGAATAATTTATTTGAAATATTGTAAATATAAGTACAATAATAATAAATAATATTTTTAAAAAAAATTATATCGTTAAATAAATATTAATTGCATAAAAAATTGATTGAACAAATAACAAATGAGTTGCATATAAATATTTTGTCAAAACAATTTTTACAACATCATTCATAGCCTTATATCTAAACAAGGTTCACACAGCGATACTATAAGTTAACTACAATTCGTTTATTGCTCAAATAATTAATAAGCTGTAATCCTAGAGAAATGTTAAAACATCCCCATGTTAAACTAATGACTTAAACTTCATGTTAGAGTATAGCCATAGGATTAACATTGTATCCTATGTTAAATCTCATAAATGGGGAAGGGGAGGGAGAGGTCAGACGATCTTATAAACTACATTTTTAACTAATGAATTGTAGTTATAATTTTTAATGATATTGCTAATTTTTTTATAAAAATTTTTAAAAATAATATGCTGACGGTTTTAGTTGAATTGTGTAAAAGTATAAATTGTGTAAAGGTATATTTTAGGTATAAATATATAATTAAGTTTCAGGCACACTTAGTTTAGTACATGTTTAATGTGTTAAATATTAACATTAGATTTAAATATTTTAAAATTATTTGATTTTAATAAATTTAATTTATTAACAAGGCTATTTTTACAAATAATGCACACATATTTGCATTTGAATTCGTGGCCTATCTATGGACTGAGTGTTACGATTGCTGTTTGGTTAATATATAAGTAAGTTTCTAAACTAATTTTAATTAGATTGCTTAGAAATCAGTCTATATAATTTTAGTTGTAATACAGACTGCTATTATTAATAATTATTATTATTATCAATATTTAATAATAAAATTTATTTAATTACACAATATAAAGTAAGTTATAAAGTTTAAATATTGACAATTTATAGTGTTTGGTGATAAATTTAAAATATTTGACCAATAGACTGCGCTGTGGACTTTTGTATTATACATGTGTTAAAGCTTCCCCATGTTAATCCTATGAGAGCTTTCTCATGTTAAATTTATGTCATAAGTTTAAGCTGTAATTCCATGTTAAATCCCATAAGATGGGTGGCGGGAGGGGGAGGAGGGCCGAACGATCATATAAACCACATTATTCATACTGAATTGTGGTTAAAAAGACTCCTTTGATTTTATAGGTGTTTGTAATTTTAATTGTATTTGCATCTAGTTAAGTTACGTTTTTTTTATTGACAGGCATTTAAGCCGTACTTTTGGTTTCTTTGACACTTTGGGCCTAAAAGGGCCCAAACCTGTGGTCATATTCGGTAATCTATTAGACCTGTTATTTGTGTCAAAGCCTGACCTCGAAGTGCAGCGAACAAAACAATTTGGCAAAATCTATGGGTAATTATATTTAATATTACTAATAATATTTAATTTAATTTAGAATTAATCAATGTAAATTGATTCAAATAAACTAGAATATTTGAGGGTAGCAAACCTTTAGTGCAAGTGTCGGAACCCGATATCATCAAACAGATCCTGGTGAAAGATTTTCGTGTGTTTAACACCAAACCGCGCATCACAAACGTGGGCCACCCCGTCATCGAGAGTATGCTCATTACAACGCGTGGCGACACCTGGCGGAGGGCGCGAACAGCCGTCAGCCATGGGTTCACCGTAGCGCGCATGCGCAAACAGTACGTGCCTGTGCGTCAGTGCGTAAGCGAATACCTGTTGCCCGTGTTGTACACTCACGCGGACTCACGCGCGCCGTGTGACCTGAAACGGGTGTACAGTTGTTTTGCGTTGTCGTGCATAACGCGGTGCGCGTTCGGCGTTCCAACCGATCCCTATAACAAACCCCAACACCCGTTTGTGGCCAACGCGTGGCCAGTGTTTCGCCTCCCGGTGTGGAAATTGTTTGCCCTACAAGTGCTGCCGCCCTATGCGTTGCGCTTATTTAATATCAGCTCGTTTTTTGACGAGACGTGTATCGCGAATATTGCGCGTACTATACGTCAGATTATACGCGCGAAAGCGAGTGTCGGCGATAATGGCGTCGATTTTATTAGCGCTGTTATGCACTCGAAGCCCGATGTTTATGATGATCAAGGTATATTTGTTTATACATTCATTTATAAATATCAACATGATTTTTTATTGCATTATTTATTTTAAATAATTATTTGAAAAATGTAAATTATAATTAAAATCTTTATTCGCGCGCAGATGAGAACAGTCTAGTGATGGCGGCCAAGACTGACGGCGCAAACGTTGTGAAAAAGCCGCTGACAGAAGACGAGATGGTCGCCCAGGGGTTCAATCTATACACCGCTGGGTTCGACCAAATGGCGAATCTATTAGCGTTTGTATCGTACGAATTGGCGCTCAAAC